TACCCACAAAAATTATAGTTACCCAGTCCTCTTTATGAAAATTTTTTAACATCACACTTAATTACGTCACTTCTTTCACTGCGTATCCCCGTATCATTGAAAAATTATAGTTACCCAGTCTCCGCTTTTAATTTATTAAACACAACACTCAATTACGTCATTTTATTCACTGCGTACCCCCGTATCCCACTATTAGGTTAATGTAGCAAAAGTGACCGGGTATTCTATAATCGCTCCAAAATCTCTTTTCACATCTCTGCCAGAACTCTCTCGCAGCAATGTCCACTCTGGCGTCATCGGCCGAGTTAAGGCTGCTTTCCACTTACGCGTTTTTCTCCATACGTATACGCACGTAAAAAAACGTACGTATTTCTAATCTCCAGTGCCGCGTAAAAAGATACAAAGCGCGGTAAAATTTAAATATGGCGTTGCAGGAGTGTGAATTAACAATGCTCATTTTGCTTCGCCAAAAACGAAAAAGAAGAAATAAATACAAAAAAGGTTCTGGATGAAAGATATTCTTAAAACTCTAAAAGAACTTGGCGAATACCATCGTCTAATGCAAGAAATGAGGCTGAATGATCATGAGTCTTTTTTCCAGTATTTCCGAATGACTCCAAGCCGTTTTGACCAACTTCTTGCTCTCATTGGGCTATACTTAAGGAAAGAATCATTGCTTCGCGAGCCTATAAGGCCTGCAGAACGCTTGGCTGTAACACTTAGATTTCTAGCAACAGGAGACTCTCAGAAAAGTATTTCGCCTTGGTCATGCTAAGGTGACCAAAATTGTCAAAGAAACGTTCGAAGCTTTGTGGACGTCTTTGCAAGCCTTTATCAAAGCTCCCTCGAGCCCAAGCAAGTGGAAAAAAATCGCTATCGACTTTTGGCAGCTGTGGAACTTTCCAATGTGCTGTGGGGCCATTGATGGAAAGCATGTCGTCATGCAATGTCCTCCTTGTGCTGGTATATATACAGGGTGTATCAAAAAAAATGTCCCAAATGTAAAATTTCCGTTTTTCAGGATATTTTGCAGAATTTGGCAAATTTTTGTGTTCCTAGAGATAGTTAAGACTTATCTGGTATACCTAGGCCAAGTTTGGTTTTTCATTAAACAAAATTATGTTACCGGGGGGTGGTTCCTTTCCACAGATATTGAGAGGGCTTGCGCGCGAAAATGTGAAGCTGAAATTGAGATATTATTTAGCTGTCTAAAAGTAGGAAAGCTTTTTAATAATCTGTCAAAGTTTCAGGAAAAATAATGCAAACTGGGAGCAACGCGCGACCCCTAAAAGTGACAAATATTTAATTGCGCGCAGTGAATTAAATGCATGGTTGATTTTAGCGTGACCGATCTCATGCAAGGCTGCATGGGCAAATGAATAAATTAAAGCGAGAAACTGAACAAGAAGACGAAGCGATTTAAATCATTTAATAACAAGATTTTTATTCTTGAAGTTAATCCTCAACATTTCCACCATTTCTTTCTAAGCAAACTGCGGCTCGTCTCAGCATGGTAAACACTGAACGGCGAACCACATTTGTCTGTCCTGCCTCAAATTATCCATTTCGTTCGAAATTCTTTCTTGCAAATCGCCTACGCTACCACCGGCAAATCTAGGTGAATGGACAGACAAATGGTTCGCTGTTCAGTGTTTAGTATGCTCAGACAAGCCGCAGTTTGCTTAGAATGAAATGGTGGACATGCTGAGGATTAACATCACGAATAAATCGCTTTGTTTTTGTGTTCAGTTTCTCGCTTTAATTTATTCATTTGCCCAGCCTTACATGAGATCGGTCACGCTAAAATCAACCATGCATTTAATCCACTGCCCGCAATGAAATATTTGTCACCTTTAGGGGGCGCGCGTTGCTCCCAGTATGCATTATTTTCCCTGAAACTTTGACAGTTTATTAAAAAGCTTTCCTACTTTTAGACAGCTAAATAATATCTCAATTTCAGCTTCACATTTTCGCGCGCAAGCTCTCTCAATATCAGTGGAAAGGAACCACCCCCCCGGTAACATAATTTTGTTAATGAAAAACCAAACTTGGCCTAGGTATACCAGATAAGTCTTAACTATCTCTAGGAACACAAAAATTTGCCAAATTCTGCAAAATATCCTGAAAAACGGAAATTTTACATTTGGGACATTTTTTTTGATACACCCTGTATGTCTGTATGCCTGTATATGCCTGTATATGCCTGTGTCTGTATCTATATCTATCTATCTATCTATCTATCTATCGATCGATCCATCCATCGATCGATCCATCGATCGATCCATCGATCGATCCATCCATAGATCCATCCATCCATCCATCCATCCATTCATCTATATATATATATATATATATATATATATATATATATATATATATATATATATATATACAATATATATATATCTATATCTATATATCTATATATCTACCGGGTGGCGCAAAAAAATGTTCCCCCTCTTAGACTTATCGTAATTAAAAAACTAATACATATATCTTATTCAAATAAAGTTTGTTGAACGCTGTGATGTCTAACTTAAATTTTTATATATGTCTTACAGGGGAGAAGATGACTAAGAAGCTAAGGCTATAAAAATGTAGATGTACACGTACAAGATATTAAGATATTTTACGAGGGCAATACCTTGGTGGTTATGTTTTTCACAACCTGCATAAGAAATTAAAAAACAGCCCAAGCTGGAAATCACCAGAGTGTCAACAAGCAATTGCCATTCTTGAAGCTGCACATGTTCCCAACGGCTATATGGAAGACCAAAAATTGGTTTCTTGTTTAAACCGATGTGGATTGTGGGCTATAAATTCACATGCCCAAGTAATTATAATTAAAACTGAATGCCCATTTAGGGATTTAACTACATGTATTAAGGAAAATAAGGTAGAAGTTGATATAATATTGTTCAGATCATTGTCTCACCCAGACATTTTATCAGCATTTTATTCTGCAATTGCCGACTCTGAACTAAATCCAGAAAAACAAGTTGCCAAAGATGTTTTACATTCAATTGTTTATCTGTACATTAAAGTACGAGCATTTTCCCTTGCCAAAGACATAGTTCAAAAGTACAAGTTAGCTACAAAAAGTAAGTGCAAACAAAAGGCCTTAAGAAAAGAGATCCAAAGAGCTGCTGAAGTTAAGCCAGAAGAGAATATAAATGAGTATATATAAAATACTAGCCAATGTTTCATTCTTTGTACAAATATTACATGGAGGTAGAGTATAAAATAAAGGCAAGCTAACAGGGTTCTCAGTTTTAATTGAACTTTTTCTGTCTCTTAGTAAATACTGATATACAGTAAAATATTTCATGTAGTTAAGGGGGCAAATAAACACAACTATCTGTAAGCTAGTCTAGTTTTAAAGTTTTTTAGTATGCAGTACCTTTCTTTTAAGCACAGCTTGTTCTGAAATATTTTCCCATTTCGCCCTCTCATGTTGCCACTGCTAATAGAAACCTCCAGTTGGATTCGTAGTGTGTTTGTGCTATATCCAAACGTAAACATGTCTGGGTTGTCTGATTGAAGGCCCAATTTTCCTTGGTTTCCGAAATATTCCTCAACTGGATCTTGGCAGAACCTTTCGGTCAAGACAATAATCAAGACCTTCTGTGAGCAAGAATTTGGTTGCCTCGATTGTAGCCAAACAGGTCATTTGCAGACCTTCGTAGGTTTGTTTGCCAAGAAATAAACATCTTGCTTCTTGCAATTGGGGTGTAGTTGCCAACACGATCAGTTGTACTTTTCTTCCACTCTTTAAAATAGGATAGAAAATCGTTTTTCAAGCCACGAGAATCTTTCATCAACAATAGATGTGTAAGGTGCAAGGAAAGGCTTTCGTCTAAGTTTATGCTCATTGATGCTTCTGACATTATGACAATCAAAAGACTTGTCCATCATTTGTGCAAATACAGCAGTTCCTGCGGCTTCTGGTGGTCCAAAGGCTTCGAGAGCTGCTGCAACAGAAGCACTCAATACTTGAGCAGCTAGGTTAACTCGCATTACATCATAAGATGACAAGTGAATATGATCATTAGTGAGTCTTGGCAATAACTTCAGACCATTGTCAATATCCTGATAGTAGAGCTGGCAAATATGTTCCCAGATTATGGTCATTCCAGCATTCCACATGTATCGAGAATCTCCACTGTGGGAATGAGAAAGACAGTTTCTTGTCGTCTTAACAAGGTGCGGGGCATCACAAAAAAAAAATATGTATCTGTATTTTGCATAGAGATTAACAGTTCTGTAGCAAACATCTTTGTCAGAACCACCATCAAGCTGTTGATGCATGCGATAGAATGCTCAATTTGGTGAAGCGCCATCTGAAGTTGTAGCAATGACCCACAAGTTGCAAGTAACTTCTAAGATGTAAATAGCTTCCCAAAACACAGGCAGGATCTGTTCACATCTTTTATCAGTTGTGGCAAAATACGCCAATGCAAACTTAAGATTAGTACAAACGCCTCTGAGTAGAAACACCAAAGCATGTGTAGCAAGCTCATCACACTTTTCCAAGGTGTTGTAATTGACTTTAGGATCACCAAGGTCTGTAAAACCAATTAGTTCACCTGATTCTTTTTGAAACACAAGATTTGATTTTACAGTCATCTCATCAAAAAGTAACACAACATACCTTAGTGTGTTGAAGTATGCTGAGGTTAAAGTAATCAAATCCTTGATTACCTATGCATTAAATCCAACTTTTGGTCTTATAGCTTTTCTATAATCTCTCAGTGTCCTCTGACTGTCCTCTGACTGGGTAGAACAAAAACTCCGCTGTTTCTAAGTTCTTCATAGCAAGAGGGAGATTTAGTGGCCAGGGACATATTTTTCTGCTGTTGCCAAAACGATTGCATGAATGGTGTCATTTCTTTGTTGCCAATTTTTGAAAAAAACTTACAACATCATTGCTTATTTCATCATCAACTGGGATGCTTGCCTTTTCAATTTCAACCTTCATTTCTTCTATTTCTTTTTCTAATTTAGCATATTTCAGCTGCTGTTCTTTGAAGGGCTAGCTTGATTCTTTCAGGTGCTGTTTTAGAAATGGGAGCTTTCAGTTTAGCTGGCATTACCTGTCCTTTCTTGCTAGCTTTCTGTATCTTTTTAACTTGAGCAGAAGAGAAAGCTGTGCATGATTTGCATGACTTAGTCACAGATGCAGGTGGCATTAGTAGCTGACAATTGATGGATCGATGATAATCATCATGGTGGTAGGACTCACCAAATTCAACCTCATTACCCTCATCCCATAATGGATCGTATGATTTAGGAATGACATGGTGCTTTACATCATCACATTTTTGCATTTCATTAGTTACTCCAGTACAGAGGGTATAATCCATTATCTCTCCAGTCAACTGCTTTACACTGACTTGTTTTACTGACCTATAATATTTCTTATATATTTCATGATTTTCTGGTAAAAGCCAATGAAACAACACGGACAGGGTAAATCCAAGACTGTCATCAACCACAATTTCATACTCAGGCAAAAGATATGGTGAATGCATCTTCTGCATTGTTATTCTATCATCCAGTGTTGCAACATTCCAGTCTCTCAATTCTTTTAATTTGGAAACATGCTTGCAAACATCTGCAAGAGAGTCAAACTTCTGAGAACAAACTGGAGCTTGTACACGATGCAAAGTGCATCTAGGAGGAATTTTTTCTTCATCGTGGAGTAGACTTGGCGTGTTGAGCATGGTAAAACACCAAATACTAAAGTCTTCTTTGTCATTTTGTCAGTTACAACTAGCAAAAGAACAACTTTGTGTAAGTTTAAAATTTAAATTATAAACTATGTTTAAATAAAAGCATTCTTACTGTTAAAAGTGTGTTATTATACAGGGTGTATCAAAAAAAATGTCCCAAATGTAAAATTTTCGTTTTTCAGGATATTTTGCTGAATTTGGCAAATTTTTGTGTTCGTAGAGATAGTTAAGACTTATCTGGTATACCTAGGCCAAGTTTGGTTTTTCATTAACAAAATTATGTTACCGGGGGGGTGGTTCCTTTCCACTGATATTGAGAGGGCTTGCGCGCGAAAATGTGAAGTTGAAATTGACATATTATTTAGCTGTTTAAAAGTAGAAAAGGTTTTTAATAAACTGTCAAAGTTTCAGGAAAAATAATGCATACTGGGAGCAACGCGCGACCCCTAAAGGTGACAAATATTTCATTGCGCGCAGTGGATTAAATGCATCGTTGATTTTCGTGTGACCGATCGCATGCAAGGCTGTGCAAATGAATAAATTAAAGCGAGAAACTGAACACAAAAACAAAGCGATTTATTCGTGATGTTAATCCTCAGCATGTCCACCATTTCATTTAAGCAAACTGTGGCTCGTCTGACCATAGTAAACACTGAACAGCAAACCATTTGTCTGCCCATTCACCTAGATTTGCCGGTGGTAGCGTAGGCGTGCAAGAAAGAATTTCATACGAAATGGAGAATTTGAGGCAGGACAGACAAATGGTTCGCCGTTCAGTGTTTACCATGCTCAGACGAGCCGCAGTTTGCTTACAAAGAAATGGTGGAAATGTTGAGGATTAACATGACAAATTAATATCTTGTTATTAAATCACTTCGTCTTTTCGTTCACTTTCTCGCTTTAATTTATTCATTTGCACAGCCTTGCATGACATCGGTCACACGAAAATCAACTATGCATTTAATCCACTGCGCGCAATGAAATATTTTTCACCTTTAGGGGTCGCGCATTGCTCTCAATATGCATTATTTTTCCTGAAACTTTGACAGCTTGTTAAAAAGCTTTCCTACTTTTAGACAGCTAAATAATATCTCAATTTCAGCTTCACATTTTCGCGCGCAAGCCCTCTCAATATCAGTGGAAAGGAACCGCCCCCCCGGTAACATAATTTTGTTAATGAAAAACCAAACTTGCCCTAGGTATACCAGATGAGTCTTAACTATCTCTAGGAACACAAAAATTTGCTAAATTCTGCAAAATCTCCTGAAAAACGAAAATTTTACATTTGGAACATTTTTTTTATACTCTGTAGTATGAAAACGTTTAAAATATCCCCACTGAACACAATGTACATTATAAAATTAAAGCATCATTGCAGACAATTGTAATAGCTAATATGAATTTTCAAGTTTATTTAAACTTTCTCTGTGTTCTCTACTAAGAGCTCTACCTACAAATCATTATCACTTCGAATATCCATTAATCCATGGTAATATCACAAAGATAACTCGTGATATGCAATTACATAGTTTGCTTGTGAACTGATGAGGGAGGGACTTGACGGTGAATATGGAAATATACTCGTTATTTTACATAAGAATAGCTCAAACGTATATTGTATTTAACATAAAGCACAGTAATTACATTTTTGGATGTCTTGTTCTCTGAAATATCTTTCGCAGGTAAAAACCCTGTCGTTTTCAATCTGTGCTCGGAAATGTTTATCAATTACCCTTGTTTTAGTGAGCTCGTTCAACCATTGTGATCGCCATGACTTGTATTCCTCGTTCTTTGGCGCTGGAAGTTTAAAAATACCGACTCCTTTTGTCCTCCGGGAAGTCCCACAACCGACAACAGCGCAGTTATTGCCAAGCATTTCGCAGATAAAACTAGATATGGGTTTATTTCACCATATTTGTTAAAGTCAATATTAAACCAGATAGATTGTGCACAGTCTTTAGTCACGTGATATAAACCAGGGCGAAATCAACATCCGTCTTTGAAGTTTGCTGCATTTCCTAACCATGTTCCCCCTCCATAAACTATTGTCATAATAATAGACCAAGTAGACTCTGGAACACGCGCGAGCGCCACGAGAACGAAAACATGTCTGGGCTGCCTATGCTATTGTTCACGACAATGTTCACAATATTATTCATTTGAAAAAAAAGCCCAGAAAGCCTCTGTGGAGTAGACAAATTTAGTTTAAAAACCGTTGTTTTTCTTCAACATGTGATAAATGGACTTGTACGGTGGCCCATAGTTGCCACCGGATTTAAAATCATATTGAAGAAACTAAATGTCCTTAATTTGTTTAGAAGTTCATTTCTGAATTGTAAAATGTGGCGACACGCCACAAAATATAACACAAGACTGTACAACGTTTAGTTTATTAAAAATTCACGTAAACAAATAAAATATTAAAAAAGAAAATCAAAATTAATTTTAAAATGAAAGAAAATTTAAAAAAATCATCTATGGTCAGCGGTTCTCTACTATAACCAATAATGCATGTAAGATATACATTGTGGTCAAAAAGAAAGTAAAAGAAAGTTTTGCAGTGCCTGCGGAAAAAAGCTTACAGAATTTAACAATGTTTGCCCTGGCTGTCGTAAAGGCAAGTAGTTTTCTTCTTATTTACCTTTTTATTGTTTGGAGTAATGAATTATTCATAAACTGCATCAAAAATTGTAAAATAGGCCAAAATGGCAAAACCACCTTCCCGCTTTGTCCTGTGAACAAAGTTAGGCTCAAAGTCTCAAACACTGCCAAGTATTTTTGTACAGTCAACCTTTATTTAATGGAATAGGGATGGAGGGGCCTGTAAAATAATGAGGGGGGATGACAATTTTCTATAGGGGATTAAATATATTTTATATTTATGGTGACAAAAATACTACATGCTTGTACACAAACAGTGGGCAGCTTGTAGAGAAACTTCAACTTATAAGTTTTATAATGTTAAGCATGCTGTCATGCTCAGGGCTTCCACAATTTATTTGCATATGACTGTCCTCATGGGGGATGGGAAAAAGAAAGACAAAGAACTTTTGAAAAGAATGTATAATAATGCTACTAACATTGACCCCTCCCCCATAGTGAGAGTCTTTTTGAAAGAAATTTCCTTTAATATTGGAAGCCCTGGTCATGCTACAGAAATGAGAAAAAAAATAATTTAAATTGCTCTTTTCCCAAACCATGGAACATTACAGCCACCCCAGCTCAAAAGTCCTGTATCTGTATATTGTCCTGAGGGACTTCAAGTTTGAACTGATTGCAACCCAAGGTGAGGTTTATGTTTTCACAATCCATGGTTTTGTTACAAGCAAGATGTCAGACATGTAGAGCAAAAAAGGAATGGGTTATTTTTATTCTGTTTGAATTTATATTATTAAATAAAATTAATTAAAAAACCACTAGCCCCACCCTAAACCACAATCCTGGCCAACACATTGACAACATTCACTGTTTGGCTGTGTCCCATAACAAATTTATTGTAGCTCCTCCCAACTAGCCCTCTCCTCCCCTCAACCTTTAGATAATAAGAGAGTTAATAGTCAAAACATGGCGGACTGTCGTGTTGAAGACTCTTCTGACAAAATTGTCAATAATTTCAATGATAATTTTGATTTAAATCAGTTAAAAGAGCATATATCATCTGGGAATATTGTCTATGATGGAACAAGAGCAAAATGGTGCAATAATTACGATTCGTGGCTGCCAGGAAGCAGCACAAAAAGGTTTGATTCCTCTACATCCGATTTCGTAGTAATATGGTATCCCGGTAAGCACAACACTCTGACCTTTAATGGTGATGTTGGAAAGCGTGCAAAAGAATGTTTAATAAAACTTTGTACAAATATACTGGCGGACCAAACCGGTTGCATTGACTTCAGTGAGTGTCTAGACAATTTAAATTTGGAGATGGAAGTTTTGAAAAGCAGAGTGGACTCAATGCAAAGTTTAATGAGTTCGCAGGGGAATGCAACGACACCGAGGGTATGTGAACTAAGTAATGAAATAGCGCTATTGAAAGTTGATCTCGAGGAACAAAAGTTCAAAAATATATGTTTAGAGCAAGAAGTTAAACGCCTTCAGCAAGAATTTGATTCATATCGAAACGGCTCAGTAAACACCATGGGTAATACTGAACTCATTAACATGCCCACCCACACATGATGAAAATGAGCATCAGTTAAACTCTAAGTATTTGATACTAATGACTCGATTAGTATGCAAAAAAACAACGAAAACGTAGTTGTTATTGACGACGATCATCAGTTAAGCCCTAATTATATAATCATCGATCAATTACCAGTAACAGAGGAAATTGACGAACAGCTAGATTATTGTAACAAACAAGGTCACAAAAACACACAACTAAACAACGATAAAGATATTGTTGTTATCGAAGAGAATAATCAATTAAGCTCAAGTCATACAACTATTGAACATCTGTCAGTAGCGTGAAAAATTGACAGACAATTGCAGGAATATCGTACCAACCAAAACAAGTTATTTGACACTCGCATATGTACGATGACTACTCATAAAACTCCTGGAGCTACAAGCGTGGCAAGATTTGAAAAGACAATGCAAGACTTCCAATCCAAGCATCTGCCTAGGCAGGATAGCCATTATAAGACAATTCCCAAACCATCCTACAGATCAAATGGATTACATCAAAGACATCACCAAAATTTTAAATTTAAGCGGCAATATGGGCAGGATAGCCGTTTTAAGACATATTCGAAACCACCCTAAATCACATCAAAGGCATCACCGGAATTTTTTTCGAATGAACGCATTGTCAGAACGGAAACGATCCTGGAGAAAGCAATTAGACCTTGTTTCACCCCTAATCAGACCTCTAGGTTTCCCTCGCCGAATGGAGACACTAGTTTAGATTGTACTGCCTCTGATACTTACACCATACCAAACAAAAAAGAGAAAAATCTATTTTATGTTCCTAAGATTATGGTGTCAAATGTTAGAGCCTTGGTGCCCAAAATCGAAGAAGTACAAGATTTTCTTAATCACAATCAGATAAGTATTGCTTTTGTTACTGAAACTTGGTTGCGACCAACTATTACAGACGGGGTTGTGGATATTGATGGATACTCCTTTATGAGGAAAGATCGCTTGTCTGATAGCCATGGTGGGGTTGGTATTTATATAAAAAACGATTGTTTTAAGTATAAAAAATTGGAGTCACTTTCCTGTTGCGAAGACCATGAAATTTTTTGGCTTCACATACGTCCCAAACGCTTACCCAGAGGTTTTTCCTGTCTTCTTGTCGCAGTCATTTACCATCCTCATTGGACAGCAGGCAAGAACGACCACATGCGCGAACATTTGTTCCAAAGTTTAGCACGAGCTGAGTCGATATACCCAAACTGCGCAATCATCATTGCAGGTGATTTTAATCGTTTAAATGTCAGTTCCATTAAAAAGCATTTCCGTCTTAAACAGATTGTCAAGAAATCAACAACGAAGAACGCAATTCTTGACCTAATATTAACCAACATGCATGACTATTACGAAAACCCATGTATATTTCCACCGTTTGGTCTTTCAGATCATGATACAGTTACAGCTGAGGGAAAAGAAAGAGAACATTCCAACGTTAATAAATTTGTATATACGCGTGATAAACGGTCTAGTCGAAAGGCAGAGATGGGAAGGTATTTGAGTGGAATATGTTGGCCTACACTATTTTCATCCTTGGAATCATGCGAGGATTTGGTGAATATTTTTAACAATGTACTGCACACCGGACTGAGTATATTAATGCTGGTTAAGAAGATTCGCGTAAATTCGACAGATGCCCCATGGATGACCGCACATTTAAAGTCTTTAATTCTGAATCGACAAAATGCCTTTCACAAACATGGCGCTGAGTCAAGGCAGTACAAATTTTATAGAAATACAGTAAACCGAGAAAGGAAAGTGATTAAAGCTAAATTTTATCAGTCTAAAGTGGAACATATGAAACAAGACAATCCAAAAACGTGGTGGAATGAAGTTAAAAGGTTATGTGGCTCCAAGTCTTTTACTGACGATCTGATTAATCAAATCCAAGTCGAAGGAGTAGATAATTATTCTAGAGTGGATTTAGCAGACGCAATAAATAAAGCTTTTCTTGACCCATTAGAAGAATATCGATTACCCCATCCTTTAAATCGTCTACCTGTAGAAGAGTCCCCGGTGTACCCTAAAGTGTCAGAGTTACAAGTCCAAGCAGTTCTAGCAAAGTTAAATCCATCAAAAGCTTGCGGTCCGGATGAAATTCTGAACTGGCTATTAAAAGAATATGCTATGCTCCTTGCGTTTCCTGTAAGTAAAACCATCAACTCTTCCTTTAAAGAAATTAAACTTCCATCTATTTGGAAGGTTGCAAATGTAATTCCACTGCCCAAGGTAAAACCTGTGGAAAATCTAAACAAACATTTGAGACCTATATCTTTAACAGCATGTTTGTCAAAGGTTGCCGAAAATTTTGTGGTACAAGATTATTTAAAACCTGCAGTTCTAAGGATTCTGGACCCTAACCAATACGGAGCTGTACCCAAATCTTCAACGATCCATGCTCTCATCCATATAATTTATGTTTGGACAAAAGGAACTGATGGAAATGGTGCCACTGTTAGGGCTATACTTTTCGACTACCGAAAGGCTTTTGATTTAATAGACCATCGAATACTTGTCGAGAAGCTTTGTGATTTGGACTTACCTAACTGTGTAGTAAATTGGATAATTGATTTTTTGTCCAACCGTTTTCAACGAACTAAACTTGCTGATAACTGTCTTTCTGAATGGGGCTCAGTTCCTTCCGGAGTCCCACAAGGAACAAAGTTGGGACCGTGGTTATTTTTA